CACGCACGCACGCACGCAGACGCACACACCCACACATCGTTTGACCAGATGTTGACGTGTTTGACAGATAGCAATGTGTTAAATTTACAATTGATAACCACATCTGATCACGATTCTGAACTTGCCAGCTGGTTTTATATTGCACAAGAAAGTTATAATACTGATATAACTCCTAACATATGAGCTGTATAATCTATTTTTCCAAGAATTTGTAATAAAATAACAAGAGTATATATTAAGTTTACAGCTTTATCAAATTCACATTTTCATATACCGGTAATCCTGTCAGATCACGAGTCTCAGTTTGCCAGCAGGTTCTATATTATATTTATGACACAACAGATAAAGAGAAATAACCACACGTTTATTTGGCAAAACAGGGGGGGGGGCACGCTGCTGGGACCATACAAACAGTCTGAAATGCATAGCTGAAATCTGCCTAACAATAAGTGCTATCTAACTAGCCTAGACTAGTCCCACAGCGAGCCCCCCCAGTGAGACGGTTATCAGTGTCCAACTACTACCGTAGAAAAGATATAGTAAAGTACAGCAAATCTGAAAAGCTCAAAAAACAGTAAATACTGACTTCTAAAACGTTAGCATTAATGTTAGTATATTAATGAGAAATGAACACAGAGTAAATACCAGTATTTGCTCTATTACCGGTATTATTATTAACTCAGTATCAATGTACAAATTTCAATTACCTTGTATTTTCGTCATAGAATTTGACTTTACGCATCACCTGCACATTGTACCAGTCACTGAATATCATTACAGACAAACCATTATCTATGTCACGTTTCAGTTTGGTAATTTCTTCTGGGAAATACTCCTCTTCGGCATCCACAAGCAATAAGGTACCTGAAAAAAAAAATAGTGAGAACATTAGTAAAAGTTTGTTATTAATTTCAGAATTGTTTTGAAACCCTAGACTGCCAGATAATTAGAGTCAGAAACTGTTTGTTTCGTTTTGATTTTAAAGTGAATCATGAATCAGATTGAAAAATGTTGGTTTATATAAAAATGTTGTTAGAGTAAAAATCAATTAAAATATGTCTTGTGGCACATTTTTAACTGATGTTTTGTGATGATCAGAATATTTGTTCAGGCACATAGTATGGTTATACATTTGTAATGTGAAAACTAGTGACTGCACATTAAATGGGAGGTTCTAAGACAGTCACACCATAACTGATCCCTCTGAGTTTCCCAATTCCCATAGTCATACACATTTCCATTATATAGAAATTACAGGGTTTCAAATTGCTGCCAGGTACAATGAAATCATCTCATCTATGCCTCATAAAACTCAAACCAAATTAGAAATGACATACATGTATTCTGTCATCAATCATTTTCACACAGTCAAACAAAGATCATGTGTTTGTGTAATGTAATAACAAAATAACACTAGACGGCATATAGCAAAGAGTGAAACCCACAATAACACCCTAAACATGAATGATTTTCAGAAGATTGATATGATGTATTTAATTAAATAGATTCAAGTATGATATGTCCATGCCTAAGAAATATGAATTATTATATATTTGAATATCAATTGTTTCAGGACCATGAAGCAGAAAAGGGTAAAAAGTGTTGGGCCCTGAATTTAAAAATGTTAATTTCTTTCTTATGGTCTGGGTGAGGCATGGTACAACCAAGGGGTGGGGAACTCTGAATACTTTGTTAAGCTTTTCAAACAGCGATGCTTGGACATTGATATTCAAAATTGTCAAAGTGGACTCGAGCTATTTCCGAAGCTGTTCTTTTATAGAAAATTTAAATATATATTTGGTCAAGAGAATTATTTTAAAATAGTCCAAAAACACTGTTACAGGGAAGCATTGTGTCGCCTAAGAATTTCTGCCCATTGTCTACGTACTGAAACTGATAGAAAATTACACGCACAGAAAAAGTTTGTATTTTAAGTAATACCAATTGTGTAGAGAACGAGTACCATTTTAGCATTATCTGTCCGTTTTACCAAGAGTTGAAATCTAAATACATCCCAAGTTATTATTATACACTTCCCTCACCCAAAAAATTTATATCACTATTATAATTACAAAATGCAGTAATCTTGCGTAATATTTCTAAATTTATTTTTCTCGCCACAAAAAAACGTAATACAATTATTTTGGTCTGACAGTTCATGTTCTTTTCATATTTTCTTGTTCTTTTTCAGTCACTGTAAAATGATATTGTCCTCTGTAACATGTTATGTAATTACAATGAGTATACCTTGAGGCCGGAGGCCTACAGTATTATGAATAAATTTATTATTATTGAATATCAATTGACATTGCCAGTGTGAAGTATAATTATCTCTCAGATCATGTATAGTGAAATTTATACATAATATTAAAGAAAGAAACTAACCTAAATACATTTTTACATATTTCACTATTTGTATGTAATTTTACGAGGTGATTGTAAAACACATTATAGTTTCTGCCCAAACACACTCTTTGAATGAAATCAAAGTGCTTGGAGTCCAGGCAATATAAAACCAGTAATGCAACTAATATTCAGATATCATAACTCACAATCCAGAATCTGCCCTGAACAAAACAGCAACAATTCTTGGAAACGGGATGTGAAAGCGTTTTCATCTATTCGGAGAATACATTTTAATATGGTGCAGAATCCTCATAAAAAAAGTTTACCATGGGAACTTTGAGTGATGCATCTACAAAAAAAACCTGATTACCGAGTAATGTATAGATACTGTATTTGCTCTATTAGTAGTGCATACAAAAATGTACACTTACATGAATTACAGAGGTATTTCTATGTTCAAAATTAGTTGTATTTTAATGATTCAGTATACAACAAATGGGATTCTAGTTTATATGTGCTATTGGACTTGAGATGTGCTAAAACAGTATATATGGAATGTTTTTTTTCATAGTTATTTGATTCAATGACATTTTTCTGTATTATCCATTTAGTAAAGGAAGTGTTTTTGTAGAATGCTTTAGCAACAGTTATTCCCCTTACTGTGTTGACTTTTCATGTTTGCACTTGCCTAAAAATCGACCAAATTACACCAGGTTAATAAAATAAATGATCTGCACATACTTTTACAGTGTCTAAACCAAGCAGTCTGAAATGTCTGGGAAAATTGTCTGGTTTACAAAGGGTGTTCAGTGTATTTTACACAAATTGGTCAGATTAAATAAGACTTGGTTTCAAAAAACACGAACATAGGTTTTAATAATGGCACAGTTAGAAAATACTACACATGTTTAATGATTCAGATACAGTGAAGGAAATGAGAAAATTGGGGTATTTTTTGTCATCTTGATTTATTCTAACAATCTGGGTTTTAATCTGGGTTCTGTGGAACAGTATTCAAAACAAGTCATTGTCAATGACACGTCCCCGTTCCGTTCATATTTGAGTGACATATACATTCAAAGCAGCAACAATATGGATGTTGAACTGCATTCAGTAAAACAAAATAGCCACCAGTCAGCCATTTTCAACACAATCCAAAAAAAATTTAAACTAAATTTGCCCACGCATGACTAAGATTCAGTTCCGGTATGGTGAAAATGTGCAATTTTTGTAAATTTTTGACCTTAAAAGGACTGGCCCAAATGCACAGGCATATGTACGATATAATGTA